GAAAGGTGTGAGGCGCTTGCCTCCACCACAAGCCTCAGCCCTGGGCAGGCAGGCGAAGATGAGGCCCGTGGGCTGCAGCTGCGGAGGGTACGCAAGAGAGACAATGACATCCCTCCTCCCTCTCCTGCCAGTTCCCATGGGGAAAAAACCCACTCTCCCTCCTAGTTCTGCGTGGATGCTGAACTTTCCCAATCGGAAGCCGCGGGAGCCCCTTCGGACGTTCAGGTTCCAAAACAACGTTCGCAAACGGAACAGTCACTTCCGAGTTTGCGGCGTTCGGAAACAAAACGTCCGAGTTCCAGGGCATTCGGGATCCATGGTATGACTGTACAGTCATACCTCGGGTTACAGACGCTAAATCACGCTTTGCGCATGCGCAGAAGCGCCGAATGGCATCCCACGCATGCAGACGCACCGCTGCAGGTTGCGAACGCTGCGGGTTGCAAACATGCATCCCACATGGATCACGTTCGCAACCCAAGTGGACATGGGATATTATACAATAATAGCACATCTTCCGTTCTTTTACTAAACTACTTATGGCATTCTAGCACTTTGGGAGAAACGTTCTCTCAATAAACGTCTATGTTCTGCACTTGGCAGGAAGGTCCCATAATGATTGAGATGTGCATTTTGTTTTGTTTTGGTTTGGTTTTTTTTGAATGATATTTATTAAGGTTTCAAAAAAAGATTACATAAATAAGAAGAAAAGAAAAAAAGAAAGAAATAAAGAGAATAAAAAGTACAAAATACAGATAAAAAAACACTTAAAAACAAATCAATCTTTCCATGCCTTACATTTCATTTCCTTGCTTCCCTGACCTCCTCACACCTCCCTTTTTTGTATTCCAATTCAATTAGTTAAATCAGCAATTCCTTTCCCTCTTTGTTTTTGTCTTAATCCTTTAGCTTAATATATTATAACTTTGGATTCTCAGCTGTTAACAATCCATTTTTACATACACCTTTATAACATTGCTGCTAAAACCACTTAACTTCATTCTGACATCATTCTAACATTCATTAATTTTGCAGTATTTCTGTAAATAGTCTTTAAATTTCTTCCAATCTTCTTCCACCGACTCTTCTCCCTGGTCTCGGATTCTGCCAGTGCATTTTGTTTTGTTCTGCCTTTGTTGTGTCAAAGTTAGCTCTCTTCTGGTCCTTCGACATAAACACAGCAACCACCCCTCAAAATGCACCCCTGGTGTTAGGGCTTTCACTGAATGACCATGAGCAATATCCCAGGCAGCTAGGGGGTGACCCTCCCTGGAGAGAAATGCCCCATCTTGCCCATCTGTGGGGGTTTGGCTTTGGTCCTGCGGTCAAGGGTCTTGTTGCTCACTTGTTATTAAAGTTGCCTTTCGCTACCGCTGCAGGAAATCGAACCCATGAATTTCTCACTAAATAAACGGGAATATAGAGCTTGCCGGCTAGGAAGTGGATTTCTGTTTTGCAAGGAGGGGGAGGCGGATCTCCTGCCGCTCCCCCTTCCTCTGGGTCAATGAGCTGGGCTTCCTAGAGAGGCAGGAAGGGGGTTTTATGGGGGGGGAGGCTATTTAGAGGAGAGGGGTCTCCATCCTCATTCCAGGAAGAGAAGCGGACTTGGAGAAGAGGAGAAAGAGGTGTCGCATATTTGGGGGTTATTTGGGGATGGGGGGGTAGGAGAAGGATGTGCTTTCCCTCTGCCTGAATTGACAAACAGGGCAGCTAGGAAAGGAGGCGGGAGGATTGCGGGGGGGGTGTGCAAGAAAGCAGGGAGGGGGCCTGCCCTTTCTCTGTAGAAATCATGGAGGGGGGCTGGATGCAGGCCATCCTGTTGCAAAGTGGGGTCCCCCTCCCCCAACAGGGTTTGCATTGCAAGATCCTTTTCGAAGCGCAGAGATCAAGCCAGGCTCCCATGGTGGGAGGACTGGGGGGGGCGAAGACACTTGAGACGAACCACAAAAGGGCGCCCCCCCCCAGTGGAACTTAATTACAAAGGGATTTGCAGCCCCACCCTGTGCATGTTGACTCAGAAGTCAGTCCTTCTCCGTTCAAAGGGGGGGCAGCCCCATTCCACCTAGTGATTCCCCTCTCTGCTACCCTCCATTTCCCTTCTCACTGCTCCCCCCCATCGCTCCCCCCGCGCCCTGCCTCCTGCGTCAGGGAGCCGGTCTGAGCAGGGAGGGGCAGAGCTCCTCCAGGACCCTGATCTGCTCCCCCCTCCGAAATCTGCTGCTGAAGCCCCTGCCTCAGTGGGGCGGAGATCCGGAGGGCAAGCAGGGGAGAGGAAGTGGAAGCAGCTGGAGAACAGAGTCGCCTCTGGATGGGAGAGAGGGGGGAGATTTCGAATTGGGTGGGGGGTGAGAGATGGACAGTGTCAGGGGAAATCGGCCTCCGGAGCTTCCTGAGTAAGAAAGAGGCTGATGTGAGAAGGAAGCAAAGGAAACCAGAATTTACTTCTTGGGAAGGGGGCGGACCCTCAGCTAGTCTTGGGGAATGAAACTGATCCCCCCCCTTGCAGATTTTGATGCTCCTTCTTTCCAAAAAGAGGCTTCTCCAGATATCCTCTTGGGACTTTGTCGGAAATGAGAATCAAAGCCCCCAGGGGTGGGAGATCTGGCCTGTCTTGCAGGATTGGCCCAGCGCAGAGGTGCTGAGGGACTTTCTCTGCCGGTGCTGCCAGCCTCACTCCTGCCTGGCCTCGTCCCCTTCCAGGTTGCCAGGAGGGTCTTATAACACTAAAGGTCTTCTAAAGCCCACCACCTGGGCAATACTCACACCAGAACCCTGCAAGGTGGGCCAGGATGACAGCCAGATTGATGGGCAGGACAGAGGACAGAGTTGGTGGGGCTATGGGGCTGACTCTGAGCTTTGTCCAGGAGCTGCCTGCCTTCCAGGGATTTTTTCCTGCCACACAAAAGCCCCCCAGGAGGCAGCTGGGAAGTGATGGAGAGAGGGTGTGGTGCTGGGGAAATTCCTGAGGGCCAGAGAGAGAGGACTTGAGGGCCAATTTAGCCCTTGGGTCTGAGGTTCCCAACCCTGCAGTTCGGGTGCTGTGCTTCCACCAGGGAGACCCAGTCTCCCATCCCCCTGCTCAGGAGGGATGCCCTGTGCCCAGTTTGGACCCCCTGATTATTTCTCCTCCTGTCCTTCCTCACAGTGTAGGGAAGATAAAAGGGGACACACACACACACACACACACACACACACAGGTTCCTACAATCCATGTTAGCGCATAGAGGGCTCTAAATATTTCCATCTGCTCCGCTTGGATGGAGCTTCTGCACCCTGGTGCCCTCCAGGTGTTGCTTTTCTTCTGACTGCAAATTCTGCCCATAATTCAGGAATTTCCTTTATTCTAAATGTATCAAATGGTCAGAAACAGGTTTCCTGGATGGCTGTTCGGGGGAAAGGAAAAGCGAGGTCTTCAGAGGTACTGACCGTAATGCTTTCTGTGAAGCTTCTTTCAGAGTTTGGGATTTGATCCTAGAAGTTTACAAACCGAAGCTGAATGTTCCCTAAAAACTCATGCAGCTTATAGTATTATAAAGTTCCTGTAGAAAGAATTACATCCTTCCAGTTCACTGCCTGCACTTCCTTGAAGGGAACCACAGGAGAGCTGGTCCCTATTATGATAATCTCAAGTGTTCCAAAGCTTTCCAGTTTTGAGCAATGAGTTGATAAGCAGCTACTAAAACAAAGGGAATGAATCCCTGATATCTCAAATCAGCATTTTCATCTATAAAAATGGTTAACATTCACAAAGTTGGGGTACATAGTACATTGGGTTTTCACTAACACTTCCTATATTTTTCATAATATGTGTTTGGATTTTGTATTTGTTATAGAATTTATGAGTATTACTTTATTAATATTGGTAATTATAATTTCTTTTTTTAAAAAAAAATAATTTTTGTTGGTTTTTACACATATTTTCCAGCATTTTGCATTTTATTACTATACTTTTTGCCATAAGTCCAAATCCTACATCAACTATTCTTAATCCTTTTCGCAGTAATTTGTAAAATTCCTTACAAAACTTCTTGTAACCCTACAAGTGATGTTAATTGGTTACAATGGTCTTTCAGATACATCATAAATTTCTTCCAGTCCTTCAGGAAAGTCTGGTCCTGCTGATTCCAAAGTTTCCCCGTTAGTCTCGCCAACTCAGCATAGTCCATCAATTTCATTTGCCACCCTTCTTTTGTTGGCATTTCCTCCTGATTCCATCGTTGGGCTAATAGTATTCTTGCTGCAGTGGTCGCATCTAAAAACAAGTTTTTATCATTCTTCTGAATTTCTGTACCTACAATATCAGGTAATAGAGCTTCTGGCTCTTTTCAAATGTATATTTTTTTAAAAATTTCATTGTAAATCATTTCCCAGAAGTGTTTTACTTTTTACCTTCCCACCACATATTGTAAAACATACCCTCTTTTCCCTTACATTTCCAACATTTATTATTATTTGTGTGGGGCTTTTTTGTACATCTTAGCTAGTTTCACTGGTGTTATATACCATCTGTACATCAGGTATTTGTAATTTCTAAAAGGTATGCTATCTGTGTAAATGTCTCCCACCCAAAATAAACCCTCCTTTCTGTGAACCGCCCTGAGACCTCCAGTTATAGGGTGGAATATAAATTCAATAGGTTGTTGTTGTTGTTGTTGTTACAATCATCATCATTTCTGCATTGTTCTCCGTAAAGAGCTGCTCCCTACATTGAGTGCATCGTGGCAACAGCTGAGAGAGTCCCAGAAGTGGCCCAGTTTATGCCTCCTCCTCCTCCTCCGTCCTTTCCACTGGCAGCGCAATGGCCTCTGAGACCCCCTCTGAACAGCCTCTTCTTAAAGGTGGAGTGGAAAGAGGAGTCAGGCAGCTTCCTCAGGTAGGGAAAGAGCAACAGGAGGAGGGAGGAGGGAAGAGGCACAGATGGGACCACCCAGCCTCCCTCTGTTGAGTGGGGATGATGGGGATCTAAGAGAAGCTCTGTCTTCTTCCTCTTCTTCTTCCAGGCCCTCTTGACCTTTGAGGAGGTGGCTGTGTTTTTCACGGAGGAGGAGTGGGCTCTGCTGGATCCTGGCCAACGAGCTCTGCACAAGGAAGTCATGGAGGAGAATTATGAGATGGTGGCCTCTCTAGGTAAGGGCAGATTTTTATTCCTCCTGGCTGTTAGACGTTGGAGGTGTGAATCTGCTGTTTGAGCCATTTATTCATGTTGTGTCTTCTTCTTTGGCGACCCCTTGTAGCCGAGTAAGATTGTCTTCCATGAACGCGGTCTTAACGGTGTGTCCATAAGTGACTATAGAGGCCAATTCTAGATCCACACATCCTTCGGCAGTGGGGACATAGGTTAATTACGGTCAGCCTTTGCCAAACGTGCTTTCATCTTTGCTTGTTTCTCCCTCTCCTCCTGTGTTTGTCTTTCTTCAAAGTCCATGAAGCCTTTTGTAAAGGCTATTATCCAATTGGAGCACTTACAGGACAGTGTTTCCCAATTTTCTGTGCTTATACTGCATTGTTTTAGATTTGGCTTGAGAGCATCTTGAAACCTCTTTTGTTGTCCTCCGGTATTTCACTTTCCATTCTTAAGTAGTAGTTGCTTTGGAAGAAGATAATCAGGCATCCAAACAACGTGACCAGTCCAACGCAGTTGATGTTGAATATGTAGTTTCTAGCAATGCTGTATATTTGTCGGTAGACAACTCTTCATAAGCCGATATTGTGGTATGAATTCACAAAAAAACCTGTTCATAATACACAAAAAGACTCATCTTCTTTGGCGATCACTCGTAGCCGAGTAAGATTGTCTTCCATAAACACAGTTTTAACAATGAGTCCGTGACTGTGGAGGCCAATTCTGGATCCACACGTCTTTCCACAGCGGGGACATTGGTTTCCGGGCGGGAGTTGATCACAGTGTGGATTTGCCAAGCGTGCCTTCCTCTTAGCACATTTTCCCCTTGCATCCTGGGTTTGAGTGTCTTCAAAGCCCATGACACATTTGGTAAAGGCTGTTCTCCAATTGGAGCGCTCGCAGGCCAGTGTTTCCCAGTTGTCAGTGTTTATACTACATTTTTTTAGATTTGCCTTGAGACAGTATTTAAACCTCTTTTGTGGACCACCAGCATTACGCTTTCCATTTTAAAGTTTGGAATAGGGTAGTTGCTTTGGAAGACGATCATCAGGTATCCACACAACATGACCAGTCAGAGGAAGTTGATGTTGAAGAATCATTGCTTCAACACTGGTAATCTTTGCTTCTTCTAGTACACTGATATTAGTCCTCCTATCTTCCCAATTTTTCGGAGACACCGTTGATGGAATCTTTCAATGAGTTGGAGATGGTGTTTATAAGTGGTCCATGTTTCACAAGCATATAGTAAGATTGGTAGTAAAATAGCTTTGTAAACAAGCATTTTGGTTTCTCTGCGAATGTCCCATGGAGGAGCCGGATGTTGTTCACAAATTTATCTGGGCAGCCAATTTTCAGAATGACAGTCCACAGGGCATTATGATTTACAGTGTCGAAAGCCTTAGTCAGGTCAATAAACACTATATACAGGGGTTGGTTTTGCTCTCTGCAGAGACTCATAGGATAATAATGATGGCATGAGGTTTACTGTTCCATGTCATTTAATAGTTTTTAATGGGCCACCAGATACTTTGCTGTTTACTTCACAAGATTAATATTTTTGAATATTTGTACAGTTACATATGACATAAACAACACTTCTATTTTACTTAAAGAGAGAGCCAGTGTGGTGTAGTGGTTAAGAGCGGTAGTCTCGTAATCTGGGGAACCGGGTTCGTGTCTCCGCTCCTCCACATGCAGCTGCTGGGTGACCTTGGGCTAGTCACACTTCTCTGAAGTCTCTCAGCCCCACTCACCTCACAGAGTGTTTGTTGTGGGGGAGGAAGGGAAAAGGAGATTGTTAGCCGCTTTGAGACTCCTTAAAAGGGAGTGAAAGGCGGGATATCAAATCCAAACTCTTCTTCTTATTCTTCTTATTCCACATAGCAGGGACTCTGATACTCAAGTCTGAGCTCATCTCGTCGTTTGGAACAGAAAAGTACACTGATGTTGTCCTGGAGAAATTGCGAGGTACATGCTTCCACTTGGCTGTGAGATTGTAACTTTCAATGTCTCCTTTCATGTGTAGGAATATTAAAAAAGCCGTTTTGGATCAGAACGAGGGCCCATCTTTTCCAGCATCCTGGTGCAGGTTACAGATCAAGGAGGAAGGAGAAAACTGAATACAGTCATAGCATTTTCACAGGAGGGGGAAAGTGTCTCTCTCTGGGTGTGGCTGCACTACAACTCCCGCCATCCCTGGTCATTGGCCATCTTTGCTTGGGTTGATGGTACTTAGAGTCCAACCACATCTTGAGGGCCATAGATGCCTCATCTCAGCATAGAAGGTTCTCTTGGTGCTCAGTGTTACATGGGAGTTGAAGGTAGAACTGGATACTAAGGGTTATTGAGGCTATTTTCAGATTACCTTTCCTATAAATTTGGTACATAGGAGAGAAAGGAATCCAGGAGATGTTAAAAGAAGAGAAGGTGCTGATTGGTCTTGCTCTGTGTTGAGTTGCTTTATTCTATTCATTGAATATCTAACAATATTTTCCTATCCCCACTTTAAACCAGGTGATGGAGAAGGCAAGCAGAATATTGAAGGGCCATCTGTAAAGTACTTCAGTGTGAGTGAACACCTTAGCACAAATCTACAAACTAACACTGGGGAGAAACTCTTTAAATGTATAGAGTGTGGAAAGAGCTTCAGTGAAAGAGGAAAACTTACCGTACATCAACGAATTCACACAGGGGAGAAACCATTCAGATGTATGGAGTGTGGAAAAAGCTTCAGTGAAAGAGGGAAACTTACTGTACATCAACGAACTCATACAGGGGAGAAACCATATAAATGTATGGAGTGTGGAAAGAGCTTCAGGCGGTGTTCACATCTTACTAGACATCAACGGACTCACACAGGGGAGAAACCATATAAATGTATGGATTGTGGAAAGAGCTTCAGACAGTGTTCACACTTTACTAGACATCAACGAACTCACACAAGGGAGAAACAATTTAAATGTAAGGAGTGTGGAAAGAGCTTCACCAATAGTGGAGTGCTTAGAAATCATCAACTGACTCACACAGGAGAGAAACCCTTTAAATGTTTGGAGTGTGGAAAGAGCTTCAGTAAGTCTTCACAACTTATGATTCATCAACGAACTCACACAGGGGAGAAACCATTTAGATGTATGGAGTGTGGGAAGTGTTTCAGAGAAAGAGGAAACCTTACTAGACACCAACAAACTCACACAGGGGAGAAACCATTTAAATGTATGGAGTGTGGAAATAGCTTCAGTAAGTCTTCACAACTTACGATTCATCAACGAACTCACACGGGGGAGAAACCATTTAGATGTATAGAGTGTGGGAAGTGTTTCAGTCAGAGTGGAAGCCTTATTTTACATCAACGAATTCACACAGGGGAGAAACCATATAAATGTTTTGAGTGTGGGCAGAGCTTCATTTGTAGTGCAAAACTCACTGTGCACCAACGAAGTCACACAGGAGAGAAACCATTTGAATGTATGGATTGTGGGATGTGCTTCAGCCAGAGTGGAGTACTTATTGTACATCAACGTACTCACACTGGTGAGAAACCATTTAAATGTATGGAGTGTGGAAAGAGCTTCAGTCACAATGGAATACTTACTGTACATCAAAGAACTCACACGGGTGAGAAACCATTTAAATGTGTGGCGTGTGGGAAGTGCTTCAGTCAATGTTCACAGCTTACTTTACATCAGCGAAGTCACACAGGGGAGAAACCATTTAAATGTATGGAATGTGGAAAGAGCTTCAGACACGGTTCACACCTTACTTTACATCTACGAACTCACACAGGGGAGAAACCATTTAAATGTATGGAATGTGGGAAAGTTTTCATTCAGAGTTCAGCTCTTACAACACATCTACGAATTCACACAGGGGAGAAACCATTTAGATGTATGGAGTGTGGGAAGAGCTTCAGTCGATGTTCACACCTTACTATACATCTTAGAACTCACACAGGGGAGAAACCATTTAAATGCTTGGAGTGTGGGAAGAGCTTCAGTAAGAGTGTAACTCTTAGAAAACATCAGCAAACTCACAGAGGAACAATGGTTTAAGTGGAAGGAGTGTTGAATGTGTTTCAATTATAATGGAGTTATTGATTAAGACATGGACTCTCACAGGGGAGAACCCATTTAGATGTATGGAGTGTGCCACGTTTTTCACACAGAGTTCATTTTGTGCTTCATGTCAACAAACCCATAGAGGGAAATATCATGTACTGTGTTTGGTGCTCTGGTGTTTGTATGGAATGTTGTGCATATATGTATTAAAGCAATGGAGGTAATGTCTCATAATAGTAAGTGTAATGAAAGATACAATGTACTATTAGTGCTGCAGAATGCTACTGTAGAGTGCTCATTGAAAGTGAACATGTGCTGAGAGTCTGTTGATGTTTGGTCTTTGAAGAGAGAATTGGGAATCCAGAGTTGGGGAAAATGGAGCACAACAGTGGTGTTTAGGAAGCAGGATTGGCTGTAGAATCCTAGAACTGTAGAGGTCAAGGGGAGTCCAACGATCCTCTAGTCCAACTCCCTGTTATAAGAACAGCAACATAAAACCCATACAGTGGTACCTCGGTTTACATACGCTTCAGGTTACATACGCTTCAGGTTACACACTCCGCTAACCCAGAAATAGTGCTTCAGGTTAAGAACTTTGCTGCAGGATAAGAACAGAAATTGGGCTCCAGAGGCACGGCGGCAGCAGGAGGCCACATTAGCTAAAGTGGTGCTTCAGGTTAAGAACAGTTTCAGGTTAAGAACGGAGCTCCAGAACGAATTAAGTACTTAACCCGAGGTACCACTGTATATTCAAACGTTTTGGCTGTGATATTCCTTAATTACTATCCACTCATTATTACCTTCTTGTGTTGAGTTTCCTCTCACTGCTCCCATTCTCCTTACTAATTGTAAGTACTCTATCAATTTGGCTTGCCACTCAATCTTTGAAGGGATGGTTTCGCTTTTCCAGTTTCTTGCTATTAGAATCTGTGTTGCAGTTGTTGCATACATGAATAATGGTCTAAATGTCTTAATTTCTGCTGTCATGATACCTATTAGAAATGCCCCGGGTCTTTTAGGGAATGGGATCTTAAAACATTTTCTTTAACTCATTATAAATGATGTCCCCAAATTCTTTGATCTTTTCACATTCCCACCAAATATGCATATATGTTCCAATTCCTTTCTTACATCTCCAGCATAACTCTGACCTGTTCTTGTACATTTTGGCTAGTGTTGCTGGTGTCAAATGCCATCTATATAACATTTTCATGACGTTTTCTCTTAGGTTCATGCATACTGTAAATTTGATATCCACTCTCCACAGTTTTTCCCACTGATTCATGGATATGTTGTATCCTAAGTCTTGGGCCCAACATATCATAGATCCTTTCACTTCCTCTTCCTTTACCCCCCAATCCAGAAGGAGGTTATACATTTTTGTAATATATTTACTCTTAGATTAGAGGAGCTCCTTTTCAAATTTAGAAGTTTTATTTGCAAATCCTTTTCCTTTGTCTATAATACTAAATCTTTCCTTCAGTTGAAAGTATTGTAGCCAATCTGTTAAATATAGTCTAATTTTTCCAAATTCTTTCAGCTTTAATTTGTTGTTATTCTCTTCCAGAATCATTCTATACCTTGCCCAATCTCCTTGCATATTCTTTCTTTATTTTTTACAGCCATGGCTTCCAGTGGGGAGGTCAACCAAGGGGGTCTTGAGTTCCAGAAGGTCTTTATATTTATTCCATATCTTATATAATGATTTACTTACTATATGATTAAAAAAAAAAACCCTGTGGACCTTCACCTTCTCGTATATCATATTTGCGTGCCATCCCAATGATTGTCTTTTTTTTTTTATAATCATATTTATTAAAATTTCCAATAATAACAGAATAGAAAAGATAGAAAAGATAAAGAAAAGAAAGAAAGAAAAAAGACCAATTTTAAACCCTTATTTTCATAACCTTCTTTCTGGGACTCCCTCCTTCCCCTCCCGACTGTATTCCCCTTTCCCTACGTTGGTTCCACAAGTTCTCCTTCCCAATTTAAACCTAATATGTTATGCCTAATAGCCAATTTAAATTACAATCTTAACATCACTCCTCATTTTTAACAAAATAAAACAAAAATTTCCCCCCCAAAATCTACCCCGTTTCCTTCCACGAGTTCCCCCTTTTTTTTCCAAAACATGTTAAATCAAAATACCAAAGTTATATAAAAAGATAAAAGATAGAAGATCGAAGAAGATTCCAAAAGTTGGTTACATAGCCTTTGGATTCTAAAATTCCCCCTCCCTTCCCCGGTTTGGATTCCCCATGTCCATCAGTCTGTATGTTGTCGGCCTGGAGGTCTCAAGTCCACAGCCAAATTTTTCTCAATCCATCTTGCCGGTTTTCTTTAAATTTGCTTGTTTTGATAATGTTTAATTTCAAAAATCCAGTCTAATCGAGGCCTTTAATTTCCCTTGGTCATTGTTGCTCCTCCCATTGTTCTTTCCGTGGCGTAGTTGGTCCTATACTCTTTTGTTTCTTACTTTCTCAGGTTTCTGTCTTGTTCAGCTGCAAAACCATTCTTATTCTGAAATCTAGTATCTCTACAGAGGTTTGTTATTCAGGAACAAAGACTTACGTCCAGTTCCTAGCTTGCTTCAATAGAAAGATTCTATTGTGTTGTCACCTCTGTAGACAAAACAATATTTCAGTTTTGCTACTTTCCCAGGAGCTAAGACCAGTACACATCCCAGGGTAGTTTTCCACATACGCCACTTGTAATGTCCCAAAGCCCCTCTAGGGGGATTGCAATAACTTTGTGTCCTCTCATCCAAAAGTCAAGTTGTTGTTTCTTTTTCCACCCGACATTTTGTACCCATATTTATATCCAATTGTATCAAAATTAACCAGCAAAATACTTGTAGCAAAGTCCTCTTTGTATTCTCAAGATTTGACAGCTACTTTGACAGCTGTCAAACTCTCCATCTCTCTCCGCCAGATTCTCCGAATCGCCCCGGTTCCCAGGGGGGGGTTGCCTTTTCCCTCTCACCCTCGACTTTTCTCCTCCAGCACAATTCTTGTAATAATCCCATCGTGGAATTTGATATTTTTTGTCAGCAATAAACTTCTGAATTGATCTTGGTTTCTCAGTCCTTGTTTTAGCATGTTTACAATCCGGGAGGGGACTGACTTCCTTTTTAGATCCCCCCCGCTCGTGCCGAATCCGAAAAAAAATTCCTTTTTTTCTCCTTTTGTACCCGGTTACCCAATTACTCACGGGTTGTTGTTAAATGTCCGAATTTCAATTGGAAGAAGCCAGCGCTCTCCGACGAATGGCATGCGGCTGCGCTCGGCAGGGGAAGCGATAGACTCACAGTACCACGCCGCTCCCTGGCACCCGATCCGTAGCCTTTAAAAAGGCTCCTTCACGAGTCGGGAGGGCGCTGACGGTACCAGCCGAGTCCCCATGTCCACGGGCTCCGTGCCCGTGGTTTTTTAGGGTCCCCGCGTCGCCGGCGCGGTAGGACCCAGCCCCTGCCGAGCAGACTCCCTCCGGAGCTCGGAGGGAGTCCGCCATTCGGCGATGGCGCCAACCCGGAAGTCCCCATCCCAATGATTGTCATAGCCCTCTAGATCAAGTAGTCTTTCAAGACTATCCAATCTTGGATCCACACTAAGCCGGCTGCCGCATGATACAATTCCAAATCAGGCAAAGCAAATCCTCCTCTCTCCTTTTGGTCTATGAAAATTTTGTGTTTGATTCTTGGTTTCTTGCCATTCCAAATGAATCTTGCTATATCCTTTTTCCAATTTTTAAAGCAGTTTATACCATCCAAAATTGGGATGGTTTGGAACAAAAACATCAACTTAGGCAAAACACTCATTTTAATTACAGAAATTTTGCTCTAAAAGGAGAGATGGAGCCTACTCCAGATTTCCAGGTCCCTCTTAATCTCCTTCCATAGTTTAACGTAATTATCTTGATATAGATTAATACATTTATTTGACAGCCAAATTCCCATATATTTTACTTTTTGCTTAATTTGTAAGCCAGTAATTTCCTGTAATTCCAATTTTTCCTCTGAACTCATATTTTTAACTACTAAATTGTTTTTCTTTTTATTAATTTTGAGTCCTGCCAGTTGTCCAAATTCGTTAATTATCTCTGTTGCCAATGGGATACCTTCTTTGGGGTTTCTGATTGTCACTATCACATCATCCGCATATGCTCCTATTTTGTATGTTTTTTCTCCAATCCTGATACCTTTTATTCTTCTTTCCTCAGTTCATTCAGCAAGGTTTCCAGCACTAGTATGAATAAAAGGGGGGATAGGGGGCACCCTTGTCTTGTTCCTTTCCTAATTTCAATGCTATCTGTGATATTGCCATTGATTATTAGTTTCACTCTTTGTGAAAAGTAGATGGATTCTATACCTCTTTCAAACCTTTTTCTGCAGCCCATTAAGTTTATCTATTTTTTCATAAAGACCCATGAGATATTATCAAATGCCTTTTCGGTGTGTATGAGCATCATGGCTGCATGTTTTTCATTTTTGAACTCCAGATATTCTAATATATTGATGATGTTCCTGGTATTATGTTGAATCTGGTGTTCTGGAAGGAATCCTACCTGGTTTGGAGGAATTATATCTTTTAGTACATTTTTCATGTTCCAGTACATGTTCCAGCCTCTGTATTCCTTTCCTCATCTCTTTCTTGATTTCTAATAAAATTGATGTTAAATCAGACTTTGTGTCCCCTTCTGCAATTGATCCTTTTATCTGACTTGGTGTTGTAGTTGGGCCTGGAGGTGGTTTTTCTGCCTGTATTAGCCATAGTTTTGTCCGCAACAATAGAAGCAGACACAAAAAAGCGTATCTATATATACCCTTTCCCTCCCTTCTCCCGCTGTTCTCTCCCTTCCCTACTTCCTTTCAAATATTCAGAATACAAAGTAACAAATAAAAAATAAAGTTCCAGTTATTATTTAAGATATTCAGAATAACTAAACGATTTTTAACAATTTTCAACAATTACATTTATGTATTAAGTTTCAATTTTTGATTTCTGTATAGAGAGGAGAAAAAGCAAAAGGGAGGAAGGAGAGAAAGAAAAGAAATAAAATAAGTAAAGATATATATATATTGCTTTCTTTTCCCATCAATGCTTGTGTTGTTGTTTAGTCGTGTCCAACTCTTCGTGACCCCATGGACCAGAGCACGCCAGGCACTCCTGTCTTCAATGCTTGTAATTATGTCCAAATATCACTAGATGGCACTTTGTCCTTTATTATAGGGAAATACTTAAAAGAAAATTATAAAACCCCTGCAATTGTTTTTTAGCCACACTCTGTCACCGTATCACTGTAATTCCATCCTTAATCTC